CTCAAAAAAAGATCATTTTCAATGAGTCAAAAGTTTTAGACCAAACCCATCAAAGTTCAAGTCTTTAAAAGAGAGTTCAAAATGCATTTGACAGAGTAGACCAAGAGCTTTCAACAGAATTACAAAGGGATGTGGTTGTTATTTGGAAAGGACTAGCTTTGGAAAGCAATCAATTTCTATGAATATGTGGACTCTGAAAAGCTGCAGAACTGAGGAATTACATTTTTATTTTGTATTTGGATTGCCCTTATCAGCCTAGGGTTGTTTTCATAAGATGCTGTCCTACAAATGATTAAGAAATTAATAAATATATCAGTATAGTAATCTTTCTTGTGATCCTAAATTCAGTAGAAAAATGAGATTGTGCACTTGTGTCTAAAGAATTGCTGCATTTTTCTTTATAAGTTGTGAGATATTCACCATGATATTCATGATATCAAGTGTAAGATCTACCTTCTACTTAGTATAAGTAACAGTTTTAAATGAAACAATTACTGAAATACAGCACACAGCACAACAGCAGTGGCAAAGATGAAGGTTGCAATTTGCACCCTACTGATCAGGTCAGACCATCATCTTCTCCAGAGCACATAAAAAAATTAAAATACTTCTCTGTCAGTCATATTTTTTTTCCCTGTGCTAGGTCACCTGGCTTCTTTTAATGTGTCTTTTACCTACCCACAGACATCTTTCACATATACTTGTAGATTAGGCAATCTGTCTTTAAGACTTCACCTGTCTCAGAAAAAAGTGCTTAATCCAAATTCATCGAGGAGGAACCCTACATAAAATGGTTTAGACTAGCCAAGTAAATTTTTAAGTAATTACAATCAGGTAATTTTTTTTGGTATCCTGAATATTTTTGAAATTCCTGAAGTAATGTTGTCCCATTCCCACATTTGAATTGTAAGTATGCCTAGAATTCAAATAATAATAAAATGCAGTGTAAAAATACTAAATAACCATGAAAGCCTAGGCCTTCATTTTGTCTTCTCCAACATTGTTACAGTATTTATTGCAATTTCTATTTTTCATCATAAAAAGCAAATTATTAACCATTAGTCAAGATTTAATTATATATATCTTAAGTTATATATGTCCCTCTTTACTTTGACAGATTCAGACATAAATCTATGAAAATCTATTAAACTAGAAAGACCATTTTTGTAATGGTGAAATGAACTTGATATTTTAATACCTATTCTATATTGGGAGTTTTAATCTACTAGGAGGTAGAAACATGGAACCAGCTGTACGGTGAGCTTGAGCTTTTATTCCTAAAATAATTTATGAGATATTTTAGCATACACTGTAACACTCAGATCAAAATTTTATCAATTTGTTTCATTTTTGAGAAGCTGAAGTCAAAACAGAGGAATGTGAGCAGCATGTATATTATCTCATGATTATCATAGTCAGAAATAAAAAGAGCTGGATTACTTATGCTTGGTTTTGATGTCTCATATTTTTTTTCTTTCTCCAAATATCTATTCATTAATAAAAATATTCCAATGCATGTGGGATAGGAGCTGATTGCCTGTAGGACATCATTAGAAAAAACACCCTCTTAAACACTGAGTTAGCTGGAATCTGATCAAAGTAAGATGTCATGTTTTGGTTTGGGAGTTTTTTTGCGTTTTTTGCTATATTTTTTATTCTATTTTCCTAAAAATAGCCGTAAGCCTTTAAATTTAACGTACACTGGAAAATTTTTATTATTAAAAGCTATGGTTAATAATAACAATTAAAAAATCTAGCTCATACCATCTGTTTTCTACAACCCCATGCTTATTGGCATTAAAAAACAATTAAAGAGGGCTAATGAAGTCCCTCATGCTACATTATCACTTTCACATTTTTTTGTTTATATATATATATACATATATATATCATGGTCATTCTGTTTAGAGATTTTAAAATATCGATAAAACACTACCTGTATTCCAATTCCACTTCTCTGGAACTTATGTCCAAGACTTATTGAAAATCAACATTATTGGCCCAAAAAAGCACATGCTCAGCTCTTTTCATAATTTTAGATTTAAGTTATTAATCCTACTTATTTGTAATATCTAAATTTATAAGTGGCTATTAAAAATTTTCCTGAGTTTCTGATGAAATTTAAAATATTTTGTAATTATTACAAGACTGAAAAGTAATATTTACTAAACTGTTCTTTTTACATTATTGTTGAAAAGACTGGCATTTCCACTTCAAAAGAAATACTGTAAGATTTTTTTTCCTGGTATATTGATACTTACATTTCTTTTAATTCAGTGTATCCAAGGTTCTGTCCTTTTTTTCCTTGGTGCCTCTCAACAGTCTTCTACAAGTTTTAGGGGTTGAATTACTTATGACTTTACCTTCTGTCCACATTTTTTCCTTAAATAGAATGTTCATTTTTTTTTAATATTCTTTAGCTGCTTTCACTATTGTAGCTGTGCTGGTTTCAGAGGGCTTTTCCTGCTAAAGTTTTAAATTTAGCTCTTCTCATTTTCTTGCTTTCCATTTTCACTTGTACTCTCTCCTTTTCCCATTGATCCTGCAAGCAAACATTTTCTCTCTTCCTAATTCAATTAAATTGCAGGAAAAAAAGTAACCTTGAGGTAATAAAACACAAACACCTTTTCCTTGCCAAAGAGTAATCTGGTGTTACTAACAGTGCAGAATTCCTGAGAATAGGGAGACTATTAGTCATCTGGAGCAGTTAAAGAAACCGGCCTCTTTCACATCCCATGCCTAAAGCATATTTCTATAATTCACTCTCTCTGCTGGGGTAGTTAACTCAGTGGAATATCTTTTGAGAGCCGGAGGAGATAGGCAAAAATAACTACCTAAGGTTGTATCCCACAGAAAACTGTTGTCTCATTACCTCCTTTTTTCTTTACTTTGGACCTGATGATGTGTCTACCATTCATGGCAGCAAGAATTTACAGGCTGTAGTTTCCTGGGAACCCACAATGTTGCTGTTCATCTCTCATCTCCTTCCCTCGGCAAATTCTTTTTATCACCTTTTTTACATGATTGGCTATCCTGTATATCATTGCTCTGTACCTGTAAAACACAGACCACAGGAGGTACCACGCTCCAGACTAGGGCGGGAGGGCTCTGGATATGTACTTCTCCTGAAGGAAAGTGTGACTGGGCAAGAAAATGAAGAATTGGAGTTTACTGCCTACTAGTTTCAGGGATGAAACTAATGAAACCTCAGTGCAAGCTCTTAACGAGAAACATAGCATAAAGGCTAGTTATGCAGATAAATGTCATCTCCTTATCCTGTGTCAGACTTCTTCTTACTTATTGGTAATTGGTACCAAAAAAAAAAAAAAAAAGTTTCTATGTCACAAGCTCTAAGTTTTAAAAATTGTAAAATATTTTAGTGGCATAATTCTACTTAATTTTAATTCGACATATTTCTACTTATTTCAGTTTAACCTATATTGTTTTATACTTATGAAGGATCTTTCCCAGTATATAACCAAATACAAATCTTATATAACACAGATATAGGAGGAAAATATGCTAAAAAGACTTTTTTTCCTCTGCATTTTTTTTTTCTCTACAGCTGAAAGACAGTAACAGCTGTGCTTAGAATAAATGTCATGAATCCAGGTTACTGTGAAGAGAAATAAAAGTCAAGTAGCATATATATCTCTTTGCTCCCTCTCCATATGCATTCCAGAATGACAGAAATGTTTTTGTCTAAACTCCAGCTGTGGGGGATACTGGTGCTGCAGAAAGCCACCTCCTCTTCTGGCTCTTCTGCACCAACATCATCAGGGTTGATATGTAAAAAGATCAAAAAAAGTAAAAAGATGGTTAGCCAGTGGTAGGTCTCAAAGAACTATTTTACCCTTTATTTTCTTCCTTTCAAGGTCTTTTAAAATAAAATGCAATGATGAATGAATGAGAGATATTAGTACTTGCTCTTCAATACATGACTTCTAACTTTCCAGAAGAGTCTCGACTTAGTTCAGTATTCCATTTATTGTTTTTTTTTTGCTGCTGAGAATTATGAGCAACACAGAAATTAAATATGTCTTCAAAGAAACTTAAACCAAAATGAATGATTCATACCTGGTTTTGAGTTTGTCAAACAGGAACCTACCACTGCCGCTTTTACTCATGTCAGTGTAACTGGTGGAACCACTTATGGAACAAGGTCATATTTAATGCACATTAGGCAGGGAGACTCAAGGTTTTTCAAAGTCTGGGATGTGGAAACTATTTTTTAATGTAGTGCATGTACAGTATACATATAACTTATTCAGTGTAGGATGAAATTGATCTCAAGGTATAGAATCTATTTGTTTGGTTTTTTTCTCCCTCATTTCTTAATAAAAGTCAGATTTTGCCTGTCATAATCTTTCAAAGCACTTACTTGTACACTGCCACACTTACCACAGCTGTCTCCTGTGTGTATCAAATGCAATGTGCTACTGCCCGCATTGTCTGTATCTCCAGATAAAATGTCACGCTGCTGCTGCCGTGCAGCCTGTCACCTGTGCTTAAGTACTTCCCTATCATGGAGCTCACCTCTGACTGCATCTTGGCAGCTGCCAAATCAGTCTTACAGAAACTATGACAAGAACTGTAATACGGAGCAAAATTTGTAAGGCATACCAAGGACAGAAAAAAAGGAAAAAACAAAGTAGTGTATGAATCACTGCTAATGTAATACAAAAAGAAACTGCCTTTAAGTAAGCTGCAGTTAAATGACCATATCAAATCAAGGAGGCACCTGAAGAAACACTGAGCATGAATTTATGAGCAGAAAGTCAAAATTTTCATAACTGCTTAAGTATTATTATTGCTTAAGCCTTTAGCCTACCTCCTCCAAGATTTGGCTTTATTGGGCAAATGTGACTGAGTTGTCCTGACTTGTCCTGTGACAGAAACAAGACAAGAATTAGTAGTCTAGTGGTTATGAATGTTGTTCCTGGAAAAATGAAACAAAACAAAACAAACAGAAACAAGCAAACAAACAAAACCCTAGATTCTTTACCTATAACATAACTTTTTTTTATTTTGTTTGGTTTGGTTTTTTTCTGATCTTGTCCTCGTAGATTCTAATTAATAAATCCTCTAAAATCTGGACAAAAAAAATTAGAAACTTTCAAAATCCTCAATCATCTTCTCCGCCTTGAAAATTCAGGACTGGAGTTTTCTGGCTTAAGCTCATGTTGTTCTAAAAGTAATGAAAAAATATTTGCATTGAACACCTGTTGATATTATTGGTCCTTTAATGTAACACAGAAAATATTGAAAGAGATGCATTTGACCTTATTTAGACAATGTATTAGCACAGAAATTAAAGTTTCTAGTTCATTAGTTCTCATGTTAATATATATGTATATCTATTACACATGCTGAAAGGCAGGTGACTTTAAACTTTTTTTATAGCAGCATCCAGTTCTCTTCTATTACACATCTAACTAATGAGTTTAAACTGAGATTCATCAGATTAAATGTTGATGCCTACAGTGTTTACATCTGAGTTTATCACCCTGGATTACCTTTATCAGTGGAGAGATATTGGCCATTTCAGTCTGTAATTAGTCTGACCTGGTTTAGATTGCTGCCTTAAGATGCTATAAATTGTTTCCATTTCTCTTCAACTTCCTTTATGTAAGAATAGGTAGTCTTACTAATAATGTGCCCTAGGTGACTACATTCTCCGTTCTTCCTTCACTTTCATCTAAAAGTTAGACCTAAAGAAGACTAAGCAACTTAATTGGTCAGAAGAGGTGATCTCTGTTTTAAGACTCTCAAAGAGTCTGACTTCGTTCCACATAGCAAAGATTCCCACCTAATTTAGAACAGTATTATAAAATTTAGGTACAAGGGACATGCCATAAATAGGTAAACGGACAAATTTTACTTCTGGGTCCTTTCTAAATAAAGATTACCCAAAAAGCAATAGCTGATTGAAATATGATCCAACAGGGTTTGCAAATGTGCTTTTGTTCCTACACAATCACACCTGCAACATGATATTGTCATGACATAACTGTAAAACAAACAGACAAAAGCAATTTCAGATGGATTTTTACCGTGACAGGTTTTGTGATTAAAGGGTCATCTCCACACACTTGAAGAAACCTAGAGGCTCAACAGCAAGCAGGAGGATGAGTTCCTCCAATTTAGCCCCTCCCAGGGTATTTCAGGAGTGTGTCAGGCCCTTGGGCTGTGGCTAAGACTCATCACCATCAGTCAACAGGTGAGAGTCTCCAGGCCTCCTTACAGACTGAGGGTGCTTTATAGGCACCCTATAAAGGCAGGCAGTTCAGTGTGGGGTGAAGGGGAGAGTATTTTGGTATTGTACAAATCTTTTATGAGAAAATAAGAAGAGAAACCAAAGACAGGGTAAGGAAGGGATCTGGATGACTTATGAAGTAATAATGGGAAAACAGAGAGATAAAGAGATAAAAGGGGCCAAGTACCTCTCATCAGGTCAACATGTTTGGCCATGCACCACATCTGATCTCCTGAGGTTGTCCTGTACTCTCATCAAAATCTATTTCCAACTATTTTTCTGAGCAAGGCTCTTATTTTCAGCATGCATGTGTGTGCATGGAGACCTGAATGTCAGCAGAGAGAACTGTGAAGCACAGATCATAGGTACCATATTTCTTGTGTGCCAGCAACTAGAGAGGCTGGAATGGTGCATGTTGGCAGGTGCTTACTGGCTAATGTCCAGCTGGACTAGCTGGTGAGCATGGCAGAGGCTTAGGAGCCAAGTATTGGAGCAACTGTAGAGATAAGAGTGGTCTGAGGATACAGGTGATCAAAGCCAGCAGCTGGGGAGACTGTGAGGTGCAGGGGTCAGACTCATTTGCATCTTGTGTTTTTGTGCATGAGGTGGAAAACCAGAGGATCCAGGGGCTGGCTACTGTGGTCAGCTACTGTGTAGGTTCTGAATCTAAAGCCAGCTCCTGAGGGGATCCATACATTGCCCACTAAAAGACCATCCTGAGCTGTCAGAGATGGAAACAGCAAAGCTGCTTGTGCTACCTATATCTCTGTGAATTTTTCTGTCTGTGCTAATTTTTGTGGCCAGTTATGTAAGTATGTATATCTGTATTGTGGAAGTGTATGTATGCAAGTTTATGCCCATCTAGGATAGGTACTTAGCTCAGTCTGACTGCTGAGTGGACCTAGGACCACAGCACTCACCTCTGCCATGCTATGGGATTCAGCAACTTGCAGTGAATTTTCTATGCATTTGACTTCTATGTGTTATTTAAACAGAATGTCATAAACAGTTATAAACTTACAGAGAAATGTAAAGGACAATTTCAATCCTTTGGTTCAGATGAGAATTTCTCTTATTTGAGAGACAATTTCCTCAAATATCAAAACTCAAGGAGTTCCTTCTGTGTTTTATAATACTTTTGTTCAAAAGCTGCAATCTCTGAAAGACCTAGTTGTGAAGTGTGGGAATGAATTTTGTACTCTATTTTCATTGAAATAACTTTTGGTATTGGATAAAGCTATGGACGGCCACTTCCTCAGTCTTTGCTATGCTGGTTGTAAGGGTGGAATATTTGAGTAAACATTAAGTGAGTCATAGAAGTTTGGGGGTTGAAATAGAAGGGGGGAAACTACCTTGAGGGAAGGGAAAATTGTGCAGAGAGAGGATTTTTAGTATAACATGAAAAGCCCCCAGATCAATTTGCCATTTGAAATTGCAGCAAGCTATATACCTAGGTCTTTCTAAAATGGGAAATCTATTTCTCTGTCTATACGTCTTAGGTTTTATACCACACCCATGATAATTACAATTTGGCACAATATGCTACTGAAGTTGGTTGTTACAGTTGTTTCTAGAAAAGAGTAAGCAATCAGAACAATAATTTTCATATCTTCTTTCAGAATAAAAAGGAATCAGCAGTCTACGATGGCTGTATTTTTTATGGGAGATTTTGTCCATTTCTTGCACTGCATGCTATATGATGAGACTGATATGACCAGTAGCTTATCATGGTTTCTTTGAAAGACATACCAGTTGGAAGTAGCAAGTCACAGTCTTTACTGTAGCATGTTTGGGTGAAAACAGAAACAAGTTTGAGAACACCACTGACTTAGTTACTGTATTCTTAATCTGATTCCTTTCTCACTTGTATTCAAAGAATATATGTAGTTAATTATTTTGGTATGATGGGAAGTCATTCAGTACTTAAAATAATCAAAATGGTTATATTAGACTGAAGCCACAGTCCATCTACCCTTTCCCTAACAGTGGCTAGCTGAGGAAGAATAGAAGCATGTAATAATTCTTATTAACGCAAACACAGGTTGTAGCAGTGTGCAGGGAATTCTGAACCGAGGCTATAATCTTTCTCCTTGATACCTCCTGATGGATTTGTCTTCTATGAATGCATTTAATTGCTGTCTGAATTCATGAAAATGTCTGGCATCCACAAAATCTATTGTCAATGACTTCCACAGTTTCATTTTTATATCATGACTGGAGAGGACATAGAATCTTTCATAAACTACTTTGGATAATAGAAGACTATACAAAATTAAAGTAGTTCAAGAACTTATTGGTAGCTGTCAGTAAAGTGATTTAAAGTGATTTACAAATAATCTAGTAAGCATGGGCTTTGCATCCTCTCTCTGTAACCACACTAAAGCCGACCTTTGAAAACATATGATTGTCTAAGTTTGACTGGCTTGAGTTACATGATCCCACATGACCTTTTAGATGTGTCAAAGTGACGGCTAAATAAGTGCACATTTTCACTTAGAAGTGTCTCTATAGGATTTGATCAAGAATACACAGACCCTCTGCAGACAAATCGGGAACAGATCTCAGCCTTCCTCAAGCTCCCTCTGTGTTTTTTTGTGATAAAAATACCAATCCCTTTATTCAATGTCTATCCCAGTTCACTCACTTTTACCACATCTTAATCTCTAGCATTTCTTTGGATCATATTTACTTATAAGCAACTGGAGTATTTATTACTCCAATTACTTTATGAGGTATTGCTAGGCAAAGAAGTCCTTGAATGCAAGGACCTACTACACAATTCACATAAACCTGTGTTCTTTTTTTCTTTTTCTTTTTAAGGGTATAAATGACTTTCATTTCTGGTTGATAGAATTTATTTGTGAGATGTGAAAATCACAAACATATTCTTCACAATCCTTCCTTTTCTGGTCCTGTTAATGGGTGCACATTCTCACAGTGATTGCATCCCGTTTCTATCAATTTATATAGTGGAATGATATGTTGTTTTCTATTAAATATTCTGAAGAAAACATATTTTCAAACTCAAAATCCTTCTCGTACTATAATGAATCTATTTTATTACACTTGAAAGCATGTAACAGTATGTCCATTTCAATTATTTTGAAATTCAGTGCAAAATACCTTTTTATTAAAATATAGCATCTCCTTGTAAAGCAATATGCACTCTTACAGGGAGAACAAAGAACTATGCACCTGTGACATTGATTTAACACTTGGAGTGAAAAAGAATTTCCTTAAAAGAAGAGAGTAAATTATTAAGAATTAAAAAAGAGATCAGGAAAAAGCATCACTGCCTACTTTTCCATTTACAACAGTAATTTGTATAAATGGTATTTCACTACATTTCAACATACATTTAATTGTGTTCACATCTTCTGCATCAGGAGTGTTTCTGACTTCAGCTCAGAGCCATAGCCCCATATGCCACAGAAATCTGCAGGCTTCGGGTGGGAGCAAGTTGAGTGTAATTGCCTCTCTCACCTCCACTTCTTGGGACCCATCCTTGCCATACATTGGCAGTGCTATACCTCATAACAAGGTGAAAAGCTGCACTGTAAGCTGTTTGCTTTTGATTTGGTTCTGTGTCATTAGACTGTTGCCAGTCAGCAGCTCCAGTGATATACAGTAAAATGTAAGTTATAAAATGCTATGATAGTTATGTGATTTTTTTTTTTTGGTTGGATTATATTCTTTCCAAGATAGTGGAAAGGAATTTCTGTGGAAACAATTTATTGGAGATTAACACATTTAAAAAAAAAAAAGAAAAAGAAGCTCAAGCTTGCTCTCTCTGATGAGTGTTGCTGGGCTTAAGCAATGTTCAGCTGTGTTAGTAT